GCTGAACAATAATTATATGGGTAACGCTGCAGAGAGTTTACTTGTGATTTGATGCAATGAAGGTGGCTTGAGTTTTTTTCAATTTTAACATTAACATAAGATTGCGCGCGTGATATTGAAAATTTTTCCTCAATTTGCTTTTTTTTAAATAAATTAAATCTCGTTGACATTTCGTTATGCTTGAAGTTTTTGTCTCGAAAAACTTGCTCTAAGGCTTCAGAGAAACTCTCGTGGTTCGTGGGCGGAATCGCTCCTCGTCCAAGCCCTTTTGTGTTTGCATGGTTTCAACTCGTGAGTTTGCTCGAGGAATGCGTACTGCTGGAACTCCGAGGGTGTGACGTAGGTTCGAGCCCGCAGACTTCCGGGAAGGTTTGAATAGAAACTCGCGACGTTCTGTACTTCGAGAGTGGGAAACCAGTTCAACTCTTGGATTTCTCAGGTACGAATGAAAATCCGCCCGACTCTGTCCTTTCACGTAAGTGTGGGCTGATGCCTTTTCAAGTTCCGAAATATCCAGCTCCCGCGATTTCCAATTCGCCTGCTGATGTGTGATTCATCCGGAGCTCAAATTTTGCCACGTCCTGCGGTACTCGCCTCCGTTTATACCGTGTTTACGCTATGTTCGTGATTCGTGGGTAGAACTACAGAGGCTATGGAATGTGGAAATTTCAAAGAGAAAAATACTGACATTGAAGAGACGAACTATGCCGTTTTTTTTAAAAGAAAATGGTCTGTTGCTTTTATGATTCCCGTGAATCTTCCAGTGGAAACGTAGGCAAACGTGCCATGATTTTTTTTTAAATCGGCGAATCAACTTGGCATTCAAGCCACATCACATTCGGGTCTAATTATTTGTGCTATTCCCGAGTACCTCAACTGGTCAATTGGTACAGGAAATAGTTTCGCGCGTGGCCATCACGTTATTGCGTTCTTTCCAGCACCTCGAGGTCGAAGGAAAACTGTTTCTCAGAAACGGCTCTTCGTGGATTTTCTCTTCGATTGTAGTGACATCTTCCAGCTGGAATGCTCGTAGGTCCACGCGTCGCGTATTTACCTCTTTGTTCTGAAATCGTGTGACTGACAGCAGAAGTCGTATGTCAAAGCAAGCGTTTTTTCTTCCACGGTGATAGCGACCGTGGTTGGCCTTGAGTCGCTTCTTCTGCTTAGCTAGGGAAGGCATCTGTCACATGGTACAGTACTGTACTCGGATGTCCCCAGGAGTCGCATTCTCTCCCTGTTTGTGTTTGATTTTTGCCCAAGTGTCCGCAAGTACAGCAGTCTGAAACGAAATTTTTGTGTCGGCTTGAATGGGATGATGCCCTTCCTTTTACTGTAATCGGGAGCACAATATCAAGCATCTCCGATAAAAGTTTCTTAATCTCGAATTGGGAAGTTTGTTATTCATGTGGACTCTCTCTGCAACAAAATTCTGAGGACCAGAAAAAGTTTGTTGTAGAGAGAATTTCGTTGAAGAGAACTCTCAACATTGGGAGAAAACCCTATAGAACAAAATCGTTATGATGTGTAGAGAAATTCATTTTAGAGAAGATTGTTTAAGAGAGAGTCCAAATTTAACGAGATTGTTTGAACATGTACTTCATGGGCTCTCGGCTGGGGCTTGAGAAAAACGAGATTTTTACGGTTTACTGTAAGTGTAAACTAATGGCCTTAAAATGAGGGTATTGCGCAGTCGCGTCAAAGGCTGAAATAATCAATCGTCCTGGAAAGTTTCACCACCACCTGACCTATCAACTTCCACAACTGCTCGAGAGAAAATGCCACTGACAAGTTAAAGTTCATTCAAACCTGGGATTTTAATTTCTTTATTGGCTCCACTTGCCATCACTCAAGGTATGCGAAGACGAATGTTCACCGACTGTCGCGGCGGAAGTTGCTGAAAGCTCTTTTCGGAGTCGTTTACAAATCTACTGATACGCGCGAGAGTCGGAGTCGTAGAAGGAATTAGTGAAAAGGAGGTTACGCGAGGTGAATGTTCGAAATTCTTGTTGGCTTATGTTTTCCATCGCTGCAGCGTCGGCGTGGGGCGATATAACGTGGAGGCCGCGACCTGAATGCTGGCTGGTTTCCCGTCGCACTGGATCAAAGTGTGGTTAGCCATACCACGGCGTTACGACTTAGTAAAACTCTCTTCCATGAATTTCCGTGTTTAATGCGAAGGATTCAGAGGATTTAAATTTATGGCTTCATCTGTTGAAGGATCTCAAAACTGTTCTTAAGTAAGGCCGTCACGGAGGCGATCCAATAGATTTTCTCCTGAAGACGGAATGTGCTACTGTTCTGTGCTAGCCTGCGATCAAAGTAGAAACAGTGAATTTACGAGTATTGGCACTGTTGAAGCAGAAGAGGATCTGCTCGACTGAGAAATTTCATAATTCTGTATATGCGGAGTCTTACGAGTGAAACTTGAAATTTAGTACAATATTGTACAGCACTTGAAGCAGAACAACAAACTGCTCTCTCGAAATGTTTCCTTGTGATGGTTCCGAAAGACTGGAAGATTATTGCTCTGGCCAAGAAACTTATCGTGTGCATGGAACATTTAAAAAATGAAACTTACCTGTCCACCGAAAATCCGCATAAAAGCGTTTGATCGTCAGGATTGTACAGTATTTACCTTTCTTTTCATCATTGTAAGAGTTGACGGCCCTGTAAACATTTGTGCTTCGCTGCGGGCATCCGTTTATGTTAGACCTGAGTTGTGGTTCTCAATCTGTGTTCCGCGGTGCCCCAAATGCGCCTCATGAACTTTTGCGATCGACTCCGCGGATGCTTAAAAAATAGTTGATGTAGAGTGTGATCGAGTTGAGCTGTCGAAGATTAAATCTACCGATGAATGACAAGAACTCGTGTGTATAGTATTTATTTCAAGGAAATGGTTTGATTGAGTGATCATTACTTTTTTCGCGCAGGAAAACTTCCGTTCCCAGGGTGTTGGATAGGTCAAAGGTGCTCCGCCGCTTAATTTCCGGCATATGAATCTATTTTGAGAAGAGGGGCAAAAATTGAGTAGGGCATGTGGGAGAATCATTCACCTAATTGTTTTGAATGGATGATAAAAACCGATTCCGTGGGACGTATAGCATCTGCTAAGAAGAATCTGGACTTTCTTCTACCGTTGTTCCGCGAGAAAAAGTATTTTTGTGTGTTTTGGCGGAAAATCTTGCCGGTGAATGATGGATGCACGTTTGTTCCGTGGCTGCGGTCCGTTCCCTGTCTGCGGTTCTTTACATCTTTCGCGGACGTATCATTCCTCCACGAATCTACAGGTTTGCTGTGCGGTTGATTCATGAAATGCACCTGAAGCCTCGTACCCTGTCTCACGAATGGAGCGTATAGTGAGGGGGGGGGGGAGTGCGTCAGAGGTATCAGATTCTTCCGACGAACATTTTCTCTCCCCGCGCGGAGCAGCTCGTGCATCGGCGTGTTGGGCTTTCGTCCGGCCCGCGGTTCTCACGCACTTCTCAACTGCCTCGCCTGTCTGCGTGATCAGGCCGCGGTGGTCATGCCTGGGGACGCGGTACGTTGACTTCGTGTGTGCTTCCCTCGCTTTTCCCGCTTGTGTCTCGGCACGGAAATATTTTAATGCCCCCACCCCCCGGGGTTTTCTCTGCGTGGGAAGTGAAAATTTTGTGCGACAAACCGGCATGCGTGATATCCTCTCCTTTGCCTGTTTCCGCGTTGTATGGGTCATTGAAAGATGTGTTTTGTGTAATTGCGGGGAGTGTTCCCGGGAGTAATTTCTTATCCCATATTCGGTTAACTCTTTGTTCCTCGGGTTAATCTCGACAGATTTTTCATTTGGCGCATCCAATCGTGAATGAGTCAAATGGATGTCTGTTCATAATAAGAAAATGTTCGCGTGAATCAGGCTTGAGGCGTTTAGGTGTTGAAACGCCATAATCGATCGCACGTTTTGTTCTCTCCGAAAATTCGCTGAAACTGTGGGCCACACTTGACTGGGTTGCCGTGGATGCCTTGGTTCGGGATTATAGTTACTGCCTTCTTTCTGGGTTATACCACGCTTAAGGCATCGCAGTGTTCGGGCGCCACCTTTTGGGTATAACATATGTCTATGAATCAAGCTCAAGTGTGTATTCAGGCTGTGATTATCGAACGATTCCACGCAAGATACGCTGCACTTTTAAATTAAGTATCTGAACCCTTTTTCCTAGCTCATTTGCAGAGACAAAATTTCCCTTGGCTTCTTCAATAGGTTTCTTGATATTTTCATTCTCTGCCATCAACTTTTTGTACCAATTGCCCACTCGTCCTTGGAAAGTCTACCGGTATCCCTATGAAAACATCGTACAAGACTTGCAAATTTGTCACGACATTTCAGCAATCCAGAACCCTGCCTTGGAATGATCAAGATCGTGCGAATTAAAGTACATGTATATCATTTTACGGAAATAGAGGCTGAGTAAAATCCTGCCGAACGAAATGTATCTGGATTCGACAGGATTATACTGTATATTATTTTTTACTCGGTCTATATTACTGTATCATGTCTTACTGGTATTTAAATGTCGATGGCATTTCACGGGCCATATGAAATTACTGTTCGATGCGTGTTCTTAGCTGCATTTTTTTACTTGCGGAATTTTCATTTTTCTTGCGGGATGTCAAGAATTTTGATCCACAATATTTATGGCTGCAAAAAGCCGTGGTGCTGCCGCGTAAATAATAATTAAACCGGAACATCATCTTCTGGGTCTCGTGAAGCTACGTGCGAACAACTGGCATGTACACCACAAGCTATCTGCTCAGTCGTCGGCTGCTGACTGATAACGGAGTGATTTCGGCATAGTCTTCGTTGAAGAGGTGTTTCGAAATATTTTCTCATTGTATGATGACGAATTAGTGGCTAACGCGTGGAGTCATGTTGATGAAGATACATGGGAAAAACATTGTTCGTCGCCGAGTGTAATAATGAAAGGGATTTGACGATTCATTTTCGGTACTCTTGCTGTCATCCGCAGTTGAACCTGAAGGACACCACCGTAAGCGTCGACGTCCACACGCCCGGAACTGGCGTCGAAGTCGAATCAAGCGCAAATGAGGGTTGTGGTGATGAAGTCGCCGATTTAGTGGACACGACGAACCCAGTGTACAATATTTCAGTGCCTGATTTGACCGCACATCAAACGAAAGCCGCGAGTGCGAAGTCCCCGGGCACCCGGGCCGTGGCGAACTCTGTGGTTTCCAACGGTCGCGCGCAGAACGTCGCGGAGTCCAAGACCGAGTCTGAGACGCCCTCTGGTGACTTGCCGACGTTGACGAACGGTAACAGTGAAGTGCTGTTGCGCAAGCAGGACGAGCGTGTGATTCCGATTGTCGTTGGGATCGCATCGCGGAAAACTCTCGACACCAATGACGACGACGTTTCTGTTTTGAGGTCAGTGGCCAATCATTCATTCGAAATTCCTTCCGCATTCGTTGATTTCGCCTGTGTAAGATTTTCTTGTGGTCTGAAGTATTTAGAACTTCGGGAACGCATAAGTGCTCTTCTTGGAGCCCCTTCGTGACATCCAACGGTCTCTTCCTAGCGTTGAATCTGAGTCGTTTTCTCAAGAGTTTATTGACTACATCTGCTTGACTGATGAGATATTCCGAGTTTTCGTTTTGTAACTTTCTATACTTCGAACAGGATTTTCGCAAAACGATCAAAATGTGTATGCTTGTTGGTATGTAAGAGGTTAAGGCTCCTAACGTAAAGCTTGCAGAGAGAAATTGAACGTACTGTATCACTTTACTGAAGTAATTTTGTCTCTCAACGCTTCCTGCTCAGAAAAAATAAAATTATTCTGAACAGTACTACAGTATAATGTCTCCCAAGACTTAATAAAGTCACATCGCGCGTTGCAAGTTTCTTCGTTGAACGTTTTGTCTAATATCCTCGAAAAATCGGTAAAAAACATTTTCTCAACGTCATGTTTGCGAAACTGATGGGGAATCCTTGTTCGGAAAACGCTGTAAGGGTTTCGTTTTTCGACCGTAAAGTCTCATCGTTCGCATTCGCTGTTTCCTTCGAGTGTGCCTGGAAGATGTTGCATGGGCATGTTGAAAGCTTTTGCTAGACTAGTCCTATTCGGAGATGGCGTTGATGAAGAGCTGCATGCGAAAATCAGCATTTTAGTCTTGGCGATTTACCCGAGACAGACAGACACGAGCACTTGTTTCTTGCGATGGGGTGATCCGAATGGATGGAGCTCGAAATCGTATCCGAAGGCTGTGCTATCTGAGAGTACACTCCGGTCCTCGCAGAACAGTCTAATACAGTACTCCAAAGTCTAAACCCTTACGAGGCACATTCGATCGTAATTGTCAGTTTTAGTAGAGGTTAGGAATCCCACGGGATGGGTGCGCAGTGCAGTATTTTCTTATGGTCACATACACATCGTATGTTTTTTATTGCAAGGTATCTGATACAATAATATATGAGGGCATAACTTCTTAATTTCTTGAATTATTTTTCGGTGAAAGAAACTTCTTGGACTTAGTGTGATCGTATTTCCTTGTCAGTTTGTCAATAACTTTATCTCAAATGATAATATTGTGCGTCGCAAAGCTGCTGTCAGGCTGTAAATATTTTGATCGCCCGTCATACGAAAGATGTTCGCTACGATCATAATTCTGTAAAACCTGGACTGACTCAAACGGTCGTTTGCGTGCTAGGCGAGGACCGGATTTATATCTCCCAATAAATATTGAAGTTCGCGATGTACAGTGATTCTGCTGATGAGTTAATTTCTTGTTTCACTTTTTTATCTTTTCATTTTTTTCGATGCTGCTTGGAAACTTGACTGTTATCACGAGAATTGCGGGTTTTTGGATGTCTCCGCTGTTTTCAGGAAGATCAGTTGAAGTCTTGTAATATATGTGGGAGACATCAGGTTAGGTAGAAGAAAAGCTTTTTCTCGCCAGCTGATTGAAAGAAATAACAAGAGAATGAATGATATGCATCACAGATTTTCGCGATTCGGTTGTAACTTGCAAATATGAAAACATGGATTGGAGTCTTGTTGAAGTCGTGAGCTTTCCATTAATCTGGTTGCCCGAAAAGGATTCAAATTCCGTGTACATTTGTTTGTTTGAAGGTACTTTAAACTTGAAAAATTTTGCGAGAGATCCGAATGATCCGCTCATTATCGAAACTTCGTCTTTCCTTCCGCGTGAGGATTTTATGAAGTAGCATACGAAGTTCGGAGCAGTCAAACATTATGGATGATTAAAAATAGCAAATTTATCTTTAAACAAATTCCGGCGTTTCTTCGCCATCTGCCTAACGAAATTAACGTATCATTCCCTATTATGATTCATGTTTTAATTTAAGATAAATACGGTTAGAATTGTTCTAACCTTCTAAGCAATCTAAGGGCTTGGAAGATATTTTGAATATTTTTTATACCTTAAACTTCTTGGTATGCAGTAATTCATTCGAAGACACGAGACTTTCATGAATCCGCATTGGTCCATCGTAATGTTCAAAACGCGTGAATTATTTTTTATGCGTTATTTGTCTGAACTATTGTAAACGATGTCTTTTTCGTGTGAAGTTCGAATAATTCCTTGCTGCTTGTCCGATTCCTCAAGTTCGTCCGAATGCTTTCCTTAATTATGAGAATCGGCTTCAGTGTTATTCTTAGTAATTATTTATTTTTGTGGAATGAAATGCACTTTCCTGGCTTGATTGAAGTTGCACCTCTGGTGACAATAAATTTAAAATTCAGTACTGTATTTGCAAATTCTAAATGGTAAGATTCCGTTTTTTCTAAACGTGATCCGCGAATGTCGTGATACTGAATGACATTTTTTAAACGAAGGCTGTAAGGGTGTTCCCGCGAATATTAGTTGATCAAAATGCTGTTGAACTTTCCCCGGCGTCTTATTTATCCTTGAGTTGGTTTTCAAATACTCTTCATGGCTTATCATGGTGCTTTCGAGGGTCCTACCTGGTTTCTAGTGGAGATCTACGCAGCCGAGTCCTACTGTTCGACTATGTAACCCGAATGTCGCGATAATTTGGGGCGGTGTCGCGTAATATGACCTACGTGACGGCTGATAAGCTGCTCGCAGACTCCCGTCATATTCTGCAAGCCGATATCGAGAAGACCAGTCGCGAAATTAGGTTTTTTGGTGATACTATATCTTTGGAAGCTCTCGTCTCACATTTAATAGTGCAGTGCTGAATTTTGTCTGAACAATGTTATCCTGGGTAATCGAAGAATGAAAAGGAATATTCGCACTAAGTTCCATTTTAACGTTGAGCCTGTTTAATGAGCTAAGCATCAAAGGGAAATATCAAAACGAAGTACTGTACTTCACTGGAGTTCACCGCGGGAAAGTAGTGGTACAGTAGTTACGAAACTGGGCATCAAAGAAGAAATGGAAGAGGGGTGGTCGAAAAGTGGAAGCGTCTCTGTTCTTTAATAATTGAATGCCTTAGGCCCCTTAGGGAATTCATTCAAGGCGATGGGTGTACATGGGTTGCCTTGGCATAATTTCAGTGATGTACATTACATTTACAATACTGTACTTCCAATGAACATTGAAGCACCCTCACGAGTTGACTTTCCGCCAGAGATTATTGGCTTGAAAAAACATACAATTTAATTCATTTTTTGTCGCGGCTGGACGTTTTAGAATTTATTTGAGAAGGATATCGCGACAATCTATTATGGTTTGTTTCTGCTGCGTGTTCTCGATTAACTTTTCCGTTTAATGGTGGAAGCTTTTGTACCTGACTTTGGAAATTCGGATTTCCCTGGCTTGAATCTTTTGACCAGGTGAAGTCGCATAGGCATCAGCCCAAATAATCCTTGCCGATTTTACTGTTATTACTCGGAGCCGAAGTACTGTATATTTGTATCTGGATTCAAAATCGAAATTGAAGTACCGGGAACCTTACAATTACGCGAAGCTTTCCGGAAAGTCCCATCGCTTTTGATGGAAAATTTCGAAATCGTAGGCTTTTTTCTCAGCTGTGTGTCCGGCTGGCTAATCACGCAGAGCTTCAAGTGGGTACCAATTGATTCAAAACTGAAGGCCAAAACGGAATCAGCTAGCCAATTCGACAATTTCGTGTTTTTTTCGGTATATTTTACAAGAAAGGCGTATGCTCAGGCGGCCGGGTACAACGTTAAAATTGGGTAGTGTTGAATGATCCGTGTGTTTTTTTCTAAAAATTCAACTTTCGAGGGTAAACTGACGTTATCCGGCGAAACTTCGAAGACATTCGAAGCCAGTTCTTTGTGAACTAGCAAAAATAATCAGTTGAGGAGAGAAACTTCCGGAAAGTGCCTCGCGAAAGTAGGAGAGGTCACTACCGAACGTGGGGGGCTCGCAGTTGAATCGATTTCTGCCGAGGCGCATGCCGTAATTGAATCCCGAGGTTGGGAACCGCGTATTTCATCTCGACAGGCCTGACATTGACGGTGCTCTTTTCATCCTGTCCCGAAGCATTGGTCCTCGAGTATTTCAGCGGACTATTGATGATCTCAAGGGAACCATATATACTGGGCAATGGGTTTCGTTTGTGCGATTCGAGTGTCCGCGGGCTATCTTGGCACTGCCCCCCCCCCCCTTCCGTTTACAGGGCTGTCGCGTATATTTGGTGCACTCACTGTCTGCAGCGAAGGCCGCGGGATGAAACTGTCTTTTTGTCGTCCGTCTGGCGTTGAACTTGATTATTTGATGGGATTCCTTGTCAATCGTCGAAACGCGTCCGTTGCGATCTCCTGTCTCGGTCGATCGCGCGGATCATTCAGGAAAAAATCTAGCTTTTTGGCTATCCTCATCGGATTCCTCCCAGACCTTACTGTGTTCCTGCCATCTTTTCATCAGCTCCCGTTTTAGTGCTGCAAAGTACAGTATAACGAACGTATTCAAAATGTTCTGTCGCATTATCTTCAAATTCAATCGATGGCATTTGAAGTTATTTTATGCTGGATCAACATTTCGACCCGAAACCCGTGCCAAGGTCGGGTCATCAAGAAGCTGGCCGTTGAATTTTTCGGTCGCCTCGGTCAGTTTTCGCTTCCTAAAAAATTACTTAGTCGTCCTAACTTTTCAATTCGATGCATCGTTCCTATTGCCTTCAAGAAGATTTTAGAATTTTTATGAATTTATTATTTTATTTTATGCTTTTTTATTCCAGACATTTGGTAACAAGTCCCGCATTCATCATGACTGCATTATATTTTTTTGTGATTCCGTGGTTCACCAACCGTCTACGGATGCGTGATGAGAAAACTCGCGGGATTTTTGAGGTCGAAAAGCAGCATTGATCGTTCGGTTATTGATTGATTTCCTCAGGATATCAAGTTCGGTGCGTTCTTAATTTTTCAATATGGCCCTACTTTTGTCGATTTTTTTCTCCCCCACTATCCCGTGGGA